ATCAGGTGGGAAAGAAGATGATGTATCAACAGCTACATATGAAGGTGTTACACATTTTATATCTCCAAGAGAATGGAAAGTACAAGATGTCCACAAAAACACTCCCTGATTTCTAACGGGTATAACATGTAACTTTATTGTAATAATCTTTCACAGTTAGTAGCTTCAGATGCAGGATTTCATTGTTTCATGTGGTATAGGGTAGCATTAAAGGCACTCAATGTGCGCCCCTCTGGTTGCTCGGCAAACATCGATGTGATAGTTCAGTTCGGTCCAGACGCTCTGCAGCATGTCTGGTGTTATAATGCGAACTGCTTCAGTGATCGAAATTTTCAGCTCCTCCAGGGTTGCAGGTAGTGATGGTACGTAAACTGTGTTCTTCACGTACCCCCAAAGAAAGAAGTCACAAACAGTTAGGTCTGGTGACCTCTGTAAGTGGCCTACGAGGTCACCGGACCTGTTTGTGATGTGCTTGATCAGGTGTGGGTTCCAAACTGGAGCTGCATACTCCAGTATGGGCCTGATGTACACGGCGTACATTATTATTATTATTATTATTATTATTATTATTATTATTATTATTATTATTATTATAAGGGGAGAGCGCTAAACCCGTAGGGTGATACAGCGCCTATGGAGAGGGGGATGGAAGGTATTCAGACTCAATTCAGGGAACTGAAGCACATCTAATTCTCTTGATCAAGAGCCCCTCACCACCATCAAAGAACCTTCCTTGAGGGGTACACGGCATAGTGTCCTGAACGACTCCTTACTGAAATGTTGGAATGCAATTCTTAGGTTTGCTAGTCGCCCATATGCCGCAGCAGTTATACGGTTGATGTGCTCCTCAGGAGAGGGGTTCGGTGTTATATTCACCCCAAGATCATTTTCCTTGAGTGAGATTTGTAGTCTTTGGCCACCTAGACTATCCTGTCTGCGGTCTTTGCCCTTCCACGAGCTTCACGACTTTGCACTTGATAAATTAGACACATGTGCAACTCTTGGGTATCTTTATTGAGAAAACGTTTCGCCACACAGTGACTTCATCAGTCCTTACAAAGGAGAATAGTGAAAAACAGGAGGAGTATGAGTTGCACATGTGTCTAATTTATCAACATGTCGGTTCTCTGAACCATTCATCTATGACTTTAGACTTGGCGGGGTTGAACTCCAGGAGCCATTTGCCGGACCAGGCCTGTAGCCTGCCTGCGTGTGTGTACTCACCTATTTGTGGTTGCAGGGGTCGAGTCCTAGCTCCTGGCCTATTTGTGGTTGCAGGGGTCGATTCATAGCTCCTGGCCCCGCCTCTTCACTGATTGCTACTGGATCCTCTCTCTCCCTGCTCCATGAGCGTTACCAAACCTCGTCTTGAAACTATGCATGGTTCCTGCCTCCACTATGTCACTTTCTAGGAGGCTGTTTCACTTCCCGACAACTCTGTGACTGAAGAAATGCTTCCTAACGTTCCTTTGATTCACAGAAACAAGGATTTACAACTTCCAATTGCAAATCCTTGTTTCTGTGTCCCATCAGTGTGGCCCGGTGGCCTGGTGGCTAAAGCTCCCGCTTCACACACGGAGGGCCCGGGTTCGATTCCCGGCGGGTGGAAACATTTTGACACGTTTCCTTACACCTGTTGTCCTGTTCACCTAGCAGCAAATAGGTACCTGGGTGTTAGTCGACTGGTGTGGGTCGCATCCTGGGGGACAAGATTAAGGACCCCAATGGAAATAAGTTAGACAGTCCTCGATGACGCACTGACTTTTCTTGGGTTATCCTGGGTGGCTAACCCTCCGGGGTTAAAAATCCGAACGAAATCTTATCTTATCTTATCTTAAGATAAGAAAGGAGGAACACTGCAGCAGGCCTGTTGGCCCATACTTGGCAGGTCCTTCACAAATCATACATAGTAATGTGTAAATTAAGTAGGATAACTTAAAAAAGTAATTTTTTTATTTACATTGGGGTCCTTGAAGACGAGCATATTTAATCAAAACAGAAGTTTACTTAGCTACCTATCAGTACCTAGGGTAAGGTAAAATTGTGGCAAGAGCCGACAAATAAAGATAAAAAGACTTAATGAAATGGGAGAATCCATGTACAGTATAATGAAGTATGTGACATTTCATTTACATGTAATGAACTTTTTCAAAAGAACATCTATTATTAAAGATTCTTGTGTGGTCTGAAGTTTATCACTAGCCTAAGTAGCCATAATTCTTTTCATCAGTTAACAGTTAAGAATGCAAGGAGTGGTAGGGGTTCGATTAGTAAGTATGTTTATTGAGGCACAGGTTCACATAAGTACAGTTATCACTAACTGCTCCCTTCAAGGCAGATGAAATTGCTGACCTGGAGAGTGTACAAGACCTTTCACATCACACGTAAGTACTATAACACACCTAAATTACTGGAAACGGTTGAAGTCCCTTGATTTGTATTCCCTGGAATGCAGGCAAAACAGATACATGATAATATACACTTGGAAAATCCTAGAGGGATTAGTACCAAATTTGCACACAAAAATCGCTCCCTATGAAAGCAAAAGACTCGGCAGGAGATGCAACATTTCCCCAATGAAAAGCAGGGGCGCCACAAGTTCACTGAGAGATAACACAGTAAGTGTCCGGGATCCAAGACTGTTCAACTGCCTCCCAGCATATATAAAGGGGATTAACAATAGACTCCTGGCTGTCTTCAAGAAGGCACTGGACAGGCACCTAAAGTCAGTACTTGACCAGCCAGCCTGTGGTTCATACATCAGTTTGTGTGCAGCCAGCAGTAACAGCCTGGTTGATCAGACCCTGATCCACCACGAGACCTGTTCTCAGACCAAATTGTGGGGTCATTGACCCCCAACACCCTCTCCAGGTATAATACATCGTGTAAATTACCTAAGATAATCAAAAAAAAGTCAGCGACTTATTTATTTCCAGTGGGGTCCATTCACTCGTCTTGAGGCAGATGCTACCTAATTCTGCATCCACTCCCATAGTCTAAGGATTACAGAGGCATGTAATGGGACCACAAACAGGGCTCCAGCCTCCATTTGGATAAGAAAGTTGCAGTAGTAATGAGTGGTTTATGAGTAATTAATCCAATCACAAAGTTAATGACTGGGAACATTAAACACAGCAAGGTGATAAGATTTTGTCCAGATTTTTAATCAAGAGGGTTAGCAGCCCAGGCTTATCTAATAGTCTGTTTTATTCAGAAACTATACATATATATTTGTACACAAAAGTTTTAACGTCCATTCCCAAATTTATGATAGAAATAATAGCATTTTTGTTAGCTTCATGAAATACTTAAACATTATAGTAAAACAGAGGTATTTAATATGTTTAAGAGGCACACTAGTCTAAAAGACAGAAAAAAATGTTCTGTTGGCTAAACAACTCGTAGAGGTTAAAAGTCACCATATTTATATGTATTATGCAAAGATTGTGAATTTGGCTATAATTTTTGAATGTACAGTAATTGGATACCCAGTTGCTTGAAATCTTTTTAAGGAATTATAAGAGTATTCTAGGTTAAGTCATTAATAAATGACACTTGTATACAGCCTCTCCTCACTTAGCGGCATACTCATTTACCAACGACTCGGACTTATGACGGGCTCTGACCAGTATTCATACCTAAATAATGTATATTAGAGCTGATTTCCTCTATTCTGTTTATTATTGTATACAGTACACTACTGTATAAACATTTATAAATATACCAGAAATGTTATAAATGGTGCAAAGGTGACTCTAAAATAACATCAAAGATGGTTGACACAAACCCAGTACCATTATAGTACGCTCCTTACTTAGCGACGAATTCATTTACCAATGTGGTCTTAGAAATGGAACTCCGTTGTCAAGTGAAGAGAGGCTGTATATATATATTTATCATAGTACAGATACAATATTGTTGTATGAATTCTCAATGCATTTTATTTAAACTATAGAGCATTAATAATCCGGTGATCAGTTGCTCAAAATAATAAGCTTTTTGGAGGAGATTTATGTATTAGATTACACTGACATGTAGTATTAGGTTAACAGAATGTAAATTGAATATCCAGAGGTGTTATCTGTTCAATATTAAGATTCTATAAATTAGAAATATAAACAAGGTATGTACAGGTATTTCAGTGAAGAGGGTTTAAGCAAAAAGTTTTTAACATGAGAGCAAGCAGCTTATGAAATTAGCAAGATATCCAGGATGGGAGAATGAACGAGGAAGACTTGAAAAATCAGGGTTGAGAATTGGAAACACAGATTCACATGGTATGAAGAAAAATAGAAATAACAACACCAAAAATCACTGATAAAGTGGTCGCAGCAATAGAAAAATAAGACTGCTGAAAAATCACAGATACAAGGGCATGGAAGAAGAGAGAAACAGAAGCACTTCTGTGACAGAAAGTGTTGTTTTTACCTTGATATCTAGGGTTATTTTGGGGATAGCACAACAACTAGGTTGCACTAAATTACAATTGAATATTAGCTCCCTTAACTCAAGATAATAATTCAGTTTTATTTCTTGTCCTTAGAATTTCCTTATGACTTTGATGTCTCACCAGAAAAGTTTCGACTCTTGCCTTTTGGCTCCTTGCCAGGCGAATTAATAAATACATTTATTTTGTTACATAGTAATGATCTTGCAAATTCCTAAGTAAACAAAATATGAATGACATGCTTTTAACACTAAAGCCAAACCCCCCAAATTTGCAAGGGTTAGGTTCCTAGAGGTCCTTACAAATTGTCCATGTACATTTTTTAAATATTTATACTCATTTTGTTTCAGCAGTCTGTATCATAAAAAAATTAAAGAGTTTTAAATGACCAATTTTTAACAAGATCCTATGGTTAGTTTTTAATTTAGCTGTTGTATGCCGAGCTCCCCAGAATTACGAAGTTTATGAATTTGGGATATTGGCTGTAATGTACTGTATTTTGTTGACTATATCCACCACCTAATTTGTGAATTAATAACTGAGAAAAATGCATTTATTTCTATCAACAGTGGGAATCAGAGGTCCTGTTCTTCATGCTAGTTATCATAATGTTTAGATCTCGGAAGTCTGGAAGTCGAAATATGGTTGCCTACATTTCTGTGTTCAACATGTATGCCAAAGTATGCAATGGAGTTTTATGGTTCACAGCAGATGTGGTATACGGCATCATCTATGTTATATTAGTCATTAGTGAGTATTACTGTATATGCATCTTGTACTGTCGTTAAAGGGTATGCTAATTAATTTTTTGTACGAGTATCTAGGTAGATCATTAGCATCTGAATGTGGCATTAATGTTCTGTTTGAAATTAAATTTAATATAATAATGATAAAGATATGGGAGTTTTTACTTTATTTTTATGGAAAATTTATTAAAAATTTTATTCCACTAATATTTAGCGGTTAAATACTCTGGATCACTTGAAGATTTGCTTTCCAGATATGTTCACCTCAAGACATATATTCTGGAAATTTATTGCCCTTCCAGGGAAAAGTGCCTTGTTGCTGGTAAAGAATTCTTGATCCAAGGAACTGGCACTTCTTGCCCCTTCCTTGGATCAAACCTGATTACCTCGCATTTTCCAAGGATTGTATGATCCCTACTGGTTAAGTGCTTCCCCCATGATAATAACACTGAATCCTTGATTTAATGGACTAATAGGGGGAGAGGGTGTTTGTTAACCATCATTGTCCAGACCACCAAATTAATATTGTTCCTAGTGTCCACTTTTTTTTTTTTTTTTTTTTTTTTTTCCAAAGAAAATTAATAAATTATTTTTTCTTCTGAAATGGTAGAGAATCTTTTTCTGAGGGTAATGACACTAAAAGTATGGAAAACTTGAGGAAATATGCAGACACATAGCAGTCCAGGCACAGTTTACACTTGGGTGATATTGCCGACTTTTAGTTCTATTAACCCTTAAACGGTCCAAACGTATATATACGTTCACGTGCATAGTGCTCTATTAACCCTTAAACGGTCCAAACATATATATACGTTCACGTGCATAGTGCCCTAAACGTATATATTTATGTTTTCTTTGTCATTCATTCAACACTGCCACGATAAGCCTGAGTCACCTAGAAATGAGAGAATGGGTGTGCGCACTCACTGTGCACCATATTAAAATAATTGGGGACGCCTGGGTACCATATGCTCTTTTTTCCTATTAAAAAAAAAAAAAAAATTTTCTCAAAAAATTTGGGGTGCTAAGCGAGTGAACATATATATACGTTTGGACCGTTTAAGGGTTAAAGTCGATTCTATTACAGGTCGGCCATCACTAATCTGGTAGTCAGTAATCTGATAACATCAGCAATTCGGCACTAATTTCGGCTAGCATAATTTCAAATTTCCAAGGTCGCCACACCAACCTGCCACTACTGTTTGGTGGTGCTGCTTGGTACAAAAGTCATTCCAATTTCATTTTCTCCAGTTATTGCTATAACCTGCTCACTTTTAGCCCTAGCCATGGTTCCAGCAAATAAAAGAAATATTTTTCATTGTGTAAAGCATATACAGTGGACCCCCGGTTCACGTTATTAATCCGTTCCTAAGAGCTCATCGTGAAGCAAAATTATCAGAAAGCAAATCAATTTTCCCCATAAGAAATAATGGAAATCAAATTAATCCGTGCAAGACACCCAAAAGTATGAAAAAAAAAAACTTTTACCACATGAAATATTAAGTTTAATGCAATAGAATAATTACAATAACAATAATAACAATAGAATAATCACAATAGAATAATTGACACTTACCTTTAATGAAGATCTGGTGATTGATGGGATGGGAGGAGGGGAGAGTGTAGAAGTTTTTAATGTTTAGAAGGGGAATCCCCCTCCATTAGGACTTGAGGTAGCAAGTCCTTTTCCGGGGTTACTTCCCTTCTTTTAATGCCACTAGGACCAGCTTGAGAGTCACTGGACATCTGTCGCACAACATATCTGTACATAGAGGCCTGTACCTCTCGTTCCTTTATGACTTTCCTAAAGTGGTTCACAACATTGTCAGTGTACAGGTTGCCAACACGGCTTGCGGTAGCTGTGTCAGGGTGATTTTCATCAAAAAAGGTTTGCACTTCAAGCCACTTTGCACACATTTCCTTAATCTTTGAAGTAGGCAACTTCGTCAATTTCTCTATCCCCTTCTCCGAAGCAGTTTCCTCAGGTCTGACCTCTTGTTGTTGAAGATGATCTAGCAGCTCATCAGTGGTTAGTTCGTCATTGTCCACCTCCACCAACTCTTCCACATCCTCCCCACTAACCTCCAACCCCAAGGACTTTCCCAATGCCACAATGGATTCCTCAACTGGCATAGGATTCCCAGGGTTGGCCTCAAACCATTCAAAATCCCTTTTGTCTACACATTCTGGCCACAGTTTCTTCCAAGCAGAGTTCAAGGTCCTCTTAGTCACTCCCTCCCAAGCCTTACCTATAAGGTTTACACAATTGAGGATATTAAAGTGATCCTTCCAAAACTCCTTTAGAGTCAGTAGAGTATCTGTGGTCACTTCAAAGCACCTTTCAAACATAGCTTTTGTGTACAGTTTCTTGAAGCTGGAAATGACCTACTGGTCCATGGGCTGCAGGAGAGGAGTGGTATTAGGAGGCAAAAAACTTGACCTTAATGAAGCTCATGTCCCCAGAAAGTCGCTCTGCCAAGTCTGTAGGATGACCAGGGGCATTGTCTAACACCAGGAGGCACTTAAGGTCTAATTTCTTTTCAATTAGATAATTTTTCACATTGGGGGCAAATACATGGTGTAACCAGTCATAGAAAAAGTCCCTAGTGACCCATGCCTTAGTGTTTGAGGATATTCTTTTGCCTGAACGCTCTGGGAGTTTCTGAGTGATACACCAATAAAGGCTTCACTTTGCGATCACCACTAGCATTGGCACACATCAGAAGAGTAAGCCTGTCTTTCATAGGCCTATGTCCTGGGAGTGCCTTTTCCTCCTGAGTAAAGTAAGTCCTGCTTGGCAATTTCTTCCAAAACAGGCCTGTTTCATCACAATTAAACACTTGTTCAGGTTTCAATCCTTCAGCCTCTATGTACTCCTTGAATTCATGCACATATTTTTCAGCTGCTTTTTGGTCTGAACTGGCAGCCTCACCATGCCTAATCACACTATGTATGCCACTACGATTCTTAAATCTTTCAAACCAACCTTTGCTGGCCTTAAATTCACTCACATCACCACTAGTTGCAGGCATTTTTCTAATTAAATCCTCATGCACCTGCCTGGCCTTTTCACAAATGATTGCTTGAGAGATGCTATCTCCTGCTATCTGTTTTTCATTTATCCACACCAATAACAGTCTCTCAACATTTTCCAACACTTGCGATTGCTGTTTTGTAATCACAGTTGTACCTTTTGCAAGAACAGCTTCCTTGATTGCCGTTTTCCTGCTCACTATAGTAGAGATGGTTGATTGGGATTTAATTTACAACTTGGCCAAATCCGACACCGCACTCCACTTTCATACTTTGCAATTATCTCTTTCTTCATTTCAATAGTCATTAGCACCCTTAGTCTCGATGGGTTGGCACTAGAAGCTTTCTTGGGGCCCATGGTGACTTATTTTGCAGAAACAAGCACCAAAAACAGTGATAATATGGATTATACCGAATGTATCCTTAGATGTGCGCACACTGGCTGGCTTGTAAACACTGGCACACACGCGGCAGTTCAGGCCACACGTGGACATGTCTCGTACGAATCGTATCGCATACCGGGTTTTGTAACGGGAACCGAGGCAAATTTTTTGCGATATAATCTTTTGGATACCGGATTTATCGGATACCGATGACTTTGCGAACCAGGGGTCCACTGTACACCGTACATTGTCCATAAAGATAAGGTGGCTTTGAAGCCACTGTCGGTCACCATGAGTTCAGCTCTTTAAGTTAAGCTGTGACCAGTAAACTCAGGCCTACATATGAAAGAATAGATCTGTGTGGTAATTGTGCAGTATATAAAAAAAAAATTCTGCACCACGCAGTGCATGAGCAAAAAAAATGCGACTGTGTTTTTGGTGTAAAACAGCAGCTTTGCGGTGCATTTTCATATGGTTTTTATGGTTTTATATAATATATATATATATATATATATTATATATATATATATATATATATATATATATATATATATATATTATTTATTTAGAAATGGCCTTACCAGCTAAGTTTAAACAGTGCTAGACTCATCTTATGCGAAATAATCGTGCATATGCTCCCCTGCAGAAGAAATGGTTAAAAGTGTCGAAAGTATGAAAATTTCTTGTACAATTAAATTTAATTTAAATACACCCTAGAAGGTGCTCATGTCATGACATATTTATTCACTGTGATGGATGATAAAAGCATTACTTGTTATGGATTCAAAGGAATCCCCCTTCCATTGGATTTATAGGTCTTTTGGTTACAACCCTTCCTTTTCCCGACTCGGGAACTTGCGCAGTCCCTCTGTCCACAAGAAATTGCCATAACCATTTCCTTGCTTTCCTAAAAGTGGGCTATTGTCATTGATATTACCACACCTTGAACAGGTGTCGGTGACATTATAAAGGTTTGCAGTTCCTTGGGAATTCCAACTTTGTAGGCCATTGGGTCTGGAAACGCATATTTCAGGTTACCAAATTCAAAATTTTCTTTATTTTCCATTACCTAAATGATCACACTTTTTAAAGTGTTGATTAGAAGCTTTTTGGGCCATGTCACTTTTTCCAAAAACAACGCACTAGATCAGTATTCTTTGCTGGTATCCTGGTGTCAATGGCCCACTGTAGGCAGGACGCCCCAAAAGTAATCTGAAGCGGTCAACACGCCCCATTTGCGTCATCGTGCCCGAAAAAAAAATGCTGACATAGTACATGTTATTATTACTTGTATTCTGATGAGCATATCAGAATGTTTATTCTTGTATCTTAAGCATAGATATACAATGTCCACTCCTTAACATCATGGACAATTATGTGTGTAGTAGGCGTTTTCCGTATGTCTGCTAAAGTAGGAGATGTACTGTCTCTTATTAAAATACACTTTGCAACACTGGACTGCAAGACATAAATTTCAACTGACCACTCAGATACCGTACGGCATCTGTGATCAATTACTCACTGTAGCAGTAAACAAGAGCTTGCCCCTTCTGAGAGGGCTGGGCCCCTCAGGGCTGAAAGGGCTGAA